ATAGATAGATAGATAGATAGATAGATAGATAGATAGATAGATAGATAACTATTTAACTGGAAAGACAGATAGGAGATGGAAGTGAAAGAGGGAAAATGGGTAATTTTAATTAGATGATTATTAGACCTTAATTCCGTTGGCAGATTAGTGAAAGAAATGGGGAATGGAGAAGGAAATGAGTTCTGTTGGGCTCATCTGGAGGTTGTAGTGTCTGAGGACTGAGATGAGATGATGCCTCTCAAAAACAGGCATTTCATTTGCTTTTTATTACCACTGGGAGCAAAGAGCTTTTATTTGATCTCCAAACTGTCACTTGGGTTCCTCTAAATTGCAGATTTTAGCACCTCAGCCTGGTCCCCATCTCACTGCTGCCTTCATGTTCACCTTTCCCACCTTTCTGACAACTTCTGAAATACAGAATTAGGAGATGCTGTCGTTAGAGAGTAGCTACATGAGTCAGGTAAATGTGCATTATTTATAGCCATTATCATAATGAGGTCATCTTTAGGAGAGGCTATGGACTGCAGGAAGGAATAAGTAAGGCCAAACTTTCTACAATGCCATAATATTTATAAGAACGGTATTCTCTAATAAATAGTGGAGAGGGTTAATCTATCAGAGGAACCATCACTGAAGCAATTGAAATAGAAAGGATCAAGGAAAAGGTAGTCAAATTTTGCAGTGAGTGGAAGAAAAACATATCTGGAATTTACACAGAATATTTAGAAATACATTAATCACTGAGTTGAAAGATTTTCTGGGAGTTCTCAGTGGGGAAATATCCTGCTTGTTACCAAGGGTGAAGGAAAAATAAACAAAAACAGATTGTTCTTCAGATTCTTCTTTGCTCACTATAAACTATGCAAAAGGAAACCAAAGAAGAGATGGTGTTTATGACTGGTCCCTCTGTTATCTAAGCACTGTGGTTAATAAGGGCAGATAGTGATGGGTTCCAGTTGAGATGAGTATGTTGAAAGTCTCTACACTGAAGTGTAGAAAGCTTCCACTATTGAGTTGAGGTGGAACTTGTGAATAGGACCCAACAGCACCCAGTAAAATGCTAAAGAAGGAAAGGAATGCTATTGGAGCTAAATTAGAAGAGATGGACAATGGCTTGTTTGCTTATTCATAAAATATTTGGAAATGTCTGGGTCTTGATGCTTTGTAATGCAAAACCTACCACATTGTCCTTCCCAGGAAATTCAAGATTCTTAGGTTTTCACTCATTCATTTCTCCCTCAGCTAAGAAAGACTCATGCTAAGGACTCATTTTGCTTGATTTTCTTATAGTTATCTGTTACTCCTATCACTTCTCACATTATCTCTGTCCAGAGCACACTTATCCTGTTTTCACACCTGTAAACTCACATCTAACCACCAAAAGTTTAGTTACAATTCATCTACTTTATTGCTATTTCCTAGAATTATTTCCACACTTAACCCAGACCCATTCACATACACAAAACACACATACTTGGCCCTCTATTTTCTATATCCTATCTCTTAGATAGCCCCTACCTTAGTGCACTTTACAATTCATCTATGACCATGTGGTTCTTACTGTACCTATATCTAATGTGCCATTCATATTCAAAACTGGTCAATTTTTGTTTCTGATAAGAGTCACTGAACTCATATTACAGAAGATGTTTTGAGATTTACAAGTGTGGAGTATGTGGTCTATGACAATTCTTTGGCTACCTCAGCCACAAAATCATCTCTGACTTGCTTCACGCCTTAGTCACTAACAAGACTCTGTGAGCACCCTATATACATCTACTATTGTCTGACCTAAAGGTTTTTGATAGATGGTCAATGGTTTATAAAGAGTTCCTGGTTGTAAAAAGGGATGGCAAGTCCACTCTTGGTCTAGCATGAATGAAAAGAAATTATAAAAATTCCAGTCCAAGAGTGACAAATGACCCAGATGAGACAGAGACAAAGGAGGCAACTTGACTTCTCTGATGCCAGATCAAATATGGATCAGATCAAACTGTACTGTACAGTTTGCTTTGCTTATTATTATCTTTCATCAAGAAAGGGAAGGAAGAAATTATCAAGAGGAAAGAAAACTGGGCATGAATAAATTATTGCTAAATAAGTTACTAAGAAATCAGGATGAAAGATAAATTATTCACTTAGTAGTTTGACTTTTAAAGTCATATTTTATAAAACTTTCCAGAACTTAATGACAAAAATATCAACTTAAGCATTATAGGTGAAATAAAAGACATGGTGTCCAGAATTATCAGACATATACAGTAACACTGCATTCCATAACCACTATTGTTAACTGATGTGCAACTACAATTTGAAGTTACTCCAAAGCCCCACTGACATTTCACCCTCTCTTGGTTATGAATTCTGCGAGGGGAGATTTTGTGTTATCATTTAGTTTCTAATATGGAAGTATCTCAATGACTGTTACTTGAGAAATATCCTTGAGACCGAGAGGCAAGATCAGGGGAGGATATATTGCAAGAATATATTTTTTGTTTAATGGTCTTTCATTTCGCATTTGAAAGTCTTACTTAGCATTCTTCTCAATGTGGAAAATGTTCACTGCTTTTCCTATAAGCATTTCTCCTGTTCTACAGATCCCCTGAATGGCCACATTATGATAATGCTCTTCTTCCTTTCTTGACTTTCTTTGATTTTTTAAAAGTCTTTTTTTTTAGTAATTCTATTTTAAACGACAAATTATAATCGTATATATTTATAAAATATAACGTGATGTTTCCCTAAATATATATCTTTGGGAATGATCAAATCAAAGTAATTAGAGTATCTAACACTTCAATTGGTTGACACCTTGGAGAGGTTACAGCAGTTAGAACATCCTCTTGTGCCTATTTAGGAGTATATAACACATTAATATCAGTGCTTAATTCTTTCCATTTTGACGATCATACATTTCTGACATTAATTTCATTACTCCCCTGAGGACGCTCAGGACCGAAAACATTAGAGACGCAAACTATACTCAATACAAATAACTTTTACCTTTTCCCTCTAACACGCCAATAATTTCAATTATTTTCCCAGTTTATGTTCAGTAAGGTTCCGTAGGGTGCCCCTTATAGTGGAACTGTGTGTGTGTGTGTGTGTGTGTGTGTGTGTGTGTGTGTGTGTACATGTACAGGTGGAAGTCTGTGTGTGTACATACATGCAGGTGTGCATATGCATGTGCGTGTATGCTCTGTAAACATTTAGGTATCCCTCTGTGCCTCTTCACATCCTATGCTTGCTGTCTGTCACTTAGTGCCTTTCTTTTTCACCAAAGGACCTGCCCCAAAATGGCCACTTCTCACTGAGCCATCTCCAAACACAACCTTGATCTGTTTATCCCCAAACCTCCATTTCAAATTCATGCATACCTGTCTGCCTAGTCTAAATTTTCTACTCTGAGGAAAATGTAATCTTTTTCAATGAAGATTTATTTTCCTCTACAAAACAAGACAGAAACATTTCATTATTTGTCCCAGGGAGTATGTTTCAATAAAAACATACAGAGTTTATTGTGAAGAACTAATCATTCAAATATTTAAAACAAAAATAGTTGAATATGGTGACATGTTATATCAAGTGAATACTAGTGTTCCACTCATATTCTTGTGTCATCCACAGATGGAAGAGTGAAAATCCAGATCACACAGACATAGGCAGCTAGCAGCAAAAAGTCTTGGAGGTGAAGAGTTCTGGGCTGAGACAGTTCTTTCAAGGATAAAAAAATATTGTTGCAGTACTTGAAATCATACAAATTTTTTACTGATTTAAAGGTGTCATTTCTATTTTTATATATTGTATAGATGCTCATCTTTGGTCAAACGTATGTTGGATAAAATTATTTATAAATAGAATACACAAAACAAATACAGCTTTTTTGTTTTAGCTCTCTTCTGTATTTTAATCTAGCATGCCGACCTTCCAGAACACCACAGCTTCTTCCATCATTTTCCTGCTCACTGGTGTGCCCGGGCTGGAAGCCTTCCACACCTGGATCTCCATTCCCTTCTGCTTTCTCTATGCAACTGCCCTCTCTGGGAACAGCCTGATTCTCTTTGTCATTATCACCCAGCCCAGCCTCCACGAGCCCATGTATTACTTCCTCTCCATGCTGTCCACCACTGATCTCGGGCTCTCCATATCCACTCTGGTCACCATGCTGGGGATATTCTGGTTCAATGCCAGGGAGATCAGCTTCAATGCCTGCTTGTCACAGATGTTCTTCATTAAACTCTTCACTGTCATGGAATCCTCAGTGCTGTTGGCTATGGCTTTTGATCGTTATGTGGCCATCTCCAACCCTCTTAGGTATGCCACTATTTTAACTGATTCCAGAATAGCTCAAATTGGGATGACAATTGTCATCAGAGGGACTGTGATGTTGACGCCAATGGTTGCACTTCTTAAGAGACTAACCTTCTGCAGCAGCCATGTGCTCCACCACTCCTACTGTTTCCACCCCGATGTCATGAAGCTCTCATGCACAGACACCAGGATCAACAATGTGGTTGGACTGACTGCCATGATCTCTACTGTTGGTGTGGACTCGGTCCTTATTCTCTTTTCCTATGTCCTGATCATCAGAACTGTCCTCAGCATTGCTTCTCCAGAAGAGAGGAAGAAAGCCTTCAGCACGTGTATCTCCCATATCGGGGCTGTAGCTATATTCTATATTCCATTGATCAGTTTGTCCTTTGTTCACAGATTTGGGAAACGAGCTCCACCCTATGTACATACCATGATTGCTAACACCTACCTGCTGATCCCTCCTGTCATGAACCCCATCATCTACAGTGTGAAGACCAAACAGATACGTAAAGCTGTGATAAAAGTTATCCAATCTAAAGAAATATAGAGTCATAAAAGCCTAGAGCTAGACGGCCTGCTTCAGGCCATGCTGTCAATTAATGCTAGACTACATCTTGAATATCAGTTACTTTAGCCCTTTTATTTCACAGATGAGGAGACTCTGATATATAAATGGGAAGCAATATATAGCCATATGTCTAGAGTTCCTCTTCCTAGACACTGTTTGTTCTAAGCTGGTGCTCTTCTAACTTTGTCAATAGCCCTTTTATTCTTATCTCATCATTAGCAGTTACATTTTCATATTATCTTTATATTACATCATTCCTTTGTAGAAAAGTAGTTAGCATTTTCTAACTATCTACCAACTACTGTTCAAAGAAACTTTTCTGCGGAGGATTCCCAGCTTCTGTGTGTAGAGAGATATGTATTTAGAAGGGTTTTGATACTATGTCCATTTAGCAAAATGATAGTAAGAGTTTAATCCTGGAGCCTATGATCTTCCCAACCATGAGTTCTTGGACAGATTTACATCAGAAATAACTAAATCCTGTGGAGTCTCCTTTAAAGCACATCATAAAACAGGTGGTCACCCACAAAACATTTTACCACGATTTCACCCATGAGTATATCTTGCCCGTTCTACCATTATTGCAGCTTGTGGTATTCACAGCTGAGTAAGGTGATCAGTGACTTTTGTTCCCTAGTAGCCTGGATGGCACCTTCTGACCCTATGAAAACCACCCAGAAGGAGGAAGCTTCCATGTCAGTACCAGCTTTATTTCTCCAAATCCTGTTACCAAAGTGTGTGGTGTCTTCAGAAACAGGGTCTTGCTATCAAGTTTTGGTTGTCATCTAAGAGCAGTGACATTAGGCCTGCAATATCTTGAGTTCTCTTGGACACCATTTACCAACAACTAGAAAAGAGTTATCCTATTCCCAGCAATGGGATTTTTACAATTTATGGCTTCAGGAAGGAGCATCATTTTTTCTCTTAATTATTGCTTGTCTTGATTTCTGTCTGTTGAAATATCCCAGAGCTTTGTTCTTGGTCCACTTCTCCTCTTTGTGCTTCTTTTTCTGATCATTTCATATTATATTATTAACAAATCCAGAATCCAACCACTTACATTGCTTCCACTGCTACCATCCAGATGCTAGCCATCACCTTGAACCCAAAGTCATCTGTGAATAGGTTTCTGGAGTCTTCCTTTATGTAATGAGTAATTATTCTAGTACCTGTGGCAGATCATATCACTTCCTGTTTAACACACTTTCATTGGTTCCTGTGTGCCCAAGAGGAAAATTTCAGTGATTGAAGTAGCATGTAAGGTCCTCTATATGCTGAGTCTCCACTACTATTGCAGTTCTCTTTTCCAGCGTGCTTTGAATCTCCCTAGTAAACCTACATTAGCCTCCAGGTATCTTCTTATATCATCAAGCACACTACACAGTACTCCATTTCACACTCAATGTTTTTCTGCCTGTGATGTTCTTCTCCCAGAGGTCTACTGCTTAGCTTACATCCTGTCTTCATGCAGTTTCTTATTCAAGTGTACCATACTGCAGGACCCCTACCATTATAAGAATAATAATAACCATGACAATAATATTTCTCCCTCAATTTCTGAAGTATCAACCCTCATCCTTACTTGCTTTGTATTTAATTCCTAGTACTTTCAAAACTTAACATATGATATACTGAGCAGTGGGGGATTTTTTTTCTTTCGTTTTTGTTTTCCCATCACAAGATAAGGTTTTTTGAGCATAAGAAATCTGTATCTCTGGGAATCCTGCCTCCATTTACCTCTTAAGAATTCTTTATCTTTTGTATAGTACTCCAAGCCCAAAGAAAAACTACATTTTTTTCTATCCCAAGTACTCCCTGTCACTTCAAGCCTTTGCACAAGCTGTTATCTCCACCTATGGTGGCATTTGCTATCAATCCCCTCCCACTTACAAGAGAGGTGATTTATTTAGAGAATCCCCCTCAATCTGTCTGTTGCCCCACCCAGATGCAACAGCATCACCTTGTGCTCATTTCTCATCATGATCCTCTTCAGATTCTATTTCAACAGTGTTTTCTACAAGGGGCTCTGCATTCACTCCTCAAGACCAAAACTGCATCTTACTCATTGTTGTCTTGTTTTTACATTTCTATTAATAGCGTCTGGCTCCCAGTATCCTTATATTTCCTTTCCTATTGATTGCTTTGGTTTGGTTTGGTTTGGTTTGGTTTGGTTTGGTTTGGTTTGGTT